GGGATTGTCAACTAGTTCAACCATTATGGAAAACAGTATGGCAATTCCTCAAGGATCTGGAACTAGAAGTACCTTATGACCCAGCCATCCCATTACTAGGTATATACCCAAAGGATTATAAATCAAGCTGCTGTAAAGACACATGCACACGTATGTTTATTGCGGCACTAATCACTATAGCAAAGACTTGGAATCAACCCAAATGTCCATCAGTGACAGACTGGATTAAGAAAATGTGGCACATATACACCATGGAATACTATGCAGCCATAAAAAAAAAATAAAAGGATGAGTTTGTGTCCTTCGTAGGGACATGGATGCAGCTGGAAACCATCATTCTCCGCAAACTATCGCAAGAACAGAAAACCAAACACCGCATGTTCTCACTCATAGGTGGTAACTGAACAATGAGATCACTTGGACTTGGGAAGGGGAACATCATACACTGGGGCCTATCATGGGGAGGGGGCAGGGGGGAGGGATTGCATTGGGAGTTATACCTGATGTAAATGACGAGTTGATGGGTGCTGACGAGTTGATGGGTGCAGCACGCCAACAGGGCACAAGTATACATATGTAACGAACCTGCACGTTATGCACATGTACCCTAGAACTTAAAGTATAATAAAAAATAAAAATAAAAAAAATAAAGTCTATTAAAAAAAGTTCTGTGGTCAAGTAAGTTTGGGAATACTGTGTACTCAGATTCTGTCTTGGAGATTATGATGCTCACATAAAGCACATATCAAAGGTTCTAAGAAGTTCAATGATAAAGAAATCCAGCATAAACCAACTTGTTCGACCACAGAAGCTTTGTTTGCTCAACAGCTAGTTACATCCAATGGAACTAGTACGCAATAGAATATTCGTGGGAAATGCTGAAACCCCCCGCGCCAAACACACACACAAAAAGTAAACACTTGTGCTCTAAAGGACATCATTAACAAAGTGAAAAGATGACTCACAGAATGAGAGAAAATATCGGCAAATCATAGCTCTGATGAGGGACTTATCCCTAGAATATATATCTAACTCTTACAACTCAAATATAAAAAGAAAACCAAATTAAAAAATGAACAAAGGATTTGCATAGATATTTCTCCAAGGAAGACATGCAAATTGCCAGTAAGAACATGAAAAGATGTTAAACATTGTTTACTATCAAAAAGCAAAGCAAAACAACACAAAAACACAAGATACCACTTTGTGCTCACTTGCAGGGCTATAACTGAGGAGACAGTAAGACAAGTGTTGATGAGGATGTAGAGAAATTGGAAGCTTTGTACATTGTTGGTGGGGATGTAAAATGATGCAGCTTTGGAATACAGTGTGGAAGTTCTTCGAATAGTTAGTTACTACATGACCAGATATTCTGCTCCTAGGTATATAACCAAGAGAAAAAATATATATACCACACAAAACCTTTCATAGCAATGTTCAGAGCTGCATTATTCATAATAGCTAAAAAGTGGAAATAACCTATGCATTTGTAATAAACAAGATGTGGTATATCTATACATTGGAACATTATGTGGCCATAAATTGCAATGAAGTATTAATGTGTGCTGCAACATGAATGAACCTGAAGGGAAAGAAAGAAAATAAGTGAAAAAAAAAAAAAAAAAAAAAAAAAAGAAACAGTCTCAAGGGGTCACACATGGAATGATTCCATTTGTATGAAATGTCCAGAACAGGCAAATTTATAAAGACAGAAAGTAGATTAGCAGTTGCCAGAGGCTGGGAGAAGGGGATAATGGGGAGTGACTGCTAAGAGATGTGTGGTTTCTTTTTGGGGTAATGAAAATATTCTGGAAGTAAGTAGTGGTGATAGCTGCATAACTCTGTGAATATACTAAAGCCACTGAATTGTACACTTTAATTATATCACAAAATTATTTTAAAAATTAATTAGTTCATGTAAATGACTTTAATATATGATTAAGGCATTACAGAATAGTGAGGAAAGGGAAGCTTATTAATGGTATCGGGGCTATCTGCTTTACAATTTAGAAAAAGTAATACCTTTACATTTATATTATGATTCAAAATACATTTTAGAGGGATTACATATTAAATAGTAGAATTGGTTTTAAACAGAAAAACTAACAAGAAAGTAGAAATATTAATCAGACATTTATTAGTGGAGCTAGAATAAACTTCTTTGCAAAGCAGCAATAGAAGAAATCACCAAGTAAATGATCAACATCAAACTAGATGTATAAAAATTAAGAACTATTTGATATAAATAGGAAAACAATAATGAAAAGGAAAATAACAAATTGGCAGAGAATGTATTGCAGCAAATATGTTGGACGAAAGGTGAATATCTTTACTCTAGAAAAAGTTAAATTATTTAAGATAAAAAAATGAAAATAAAGCAGAAGATACAAAAAAAGAGAGAAAGTTGCACAATTCAAGGCAGGATAAAAGTTGTGGAATAACCCATGTTGTGAAAAGGCTATGTGCTATACTGTTGTGCAGAGACAGGAAATATCCATTTGGTGTTGGGGAGGGAGACAATAAAGGGTAGAGTAAACAAAATGCAAACATTACAATTCTCAAAACTGGTGTGAAGAAAAGGTAAAAGTGATGTATTCTCAAACATAGACAAGCAATGTAGTATCATGAAAAGATTCATACTGTGTTTGGAATTAGGCAGAATTAAAATCAAATGATAATTGTGTCACTTACAAGCTGTGTGATCTTGGTAACTAAGATAATCTCTCTAAATCTATATTATTAGCCATAATATGGTGATGTTTCCTACTTTGCAGCATTGATGTGAGAAAAATAATAAGGATCTAGCTGAGTCCTTGACACATTCTATGCACTCAGTTTATTCTAAGAGTTCAGTAAACAGTGACTGTTTGAATATTACAGTTGGTCATGGAAATTAATAAGAAAGAAATTTAGCAAGTATCAAAAACTATCAAATGTTCATATTATTTGATCCAGTGATTTTACTTCTGGAAATATATTCTAAGAAAATAACCATTAAGAAAAAATTATATGCACAAAACTATTTTAATGGCATTATCCAGAATAGGAAATGTTTTATAACAGAGGAATGGTTAACTAAATTATGATGTAACTATTTACTGAGTGGAAGTATGATGTGGCTGCTGCAAAGAAAGATAATTGTGAACGTCAAGTCATTTCTTTAAAAAAATTGATATTTATGTGCATCAAAGGGCACAATGAACAGAGTGAAAAGGTAACTTACAGAATGGGAGAAAATAGTTGCAAACCATATATCTATAAGGTGTTAATATCTAGAAACATAAAAAACTTGTATAACTTAACAACAAAAAGACAAGCTGATTTTTAAAAGGACGAAGGACTTGAATAGACATTTGTCTAAAGAAGACATACAAACATATGAAAAAATGCTCAATATTACTAATCAGAGAAATGCAAATCAAAACCACAATGAGATAGTACCTCATACTTGTTAGGATGGCTACTATGAAAAAAACAAAAACAAAAACAAAAGTAGGCCAGGTACGGTGACTTATGCCTGTAATCCCAGCTCTTTGGGATGCAAAGGTAGGAAGAAGATAGCTTGAGACTAGGAGTTTGAGACCAGCCTGGGCAATGTCATGAGATCCTGTTTCAACAAACAGACAAAGAAACAAAACCCCAAAAGTAACAAGATCGGTAAGAATGAAGAGAAATGGAACCCTTGTGCACTGTTGGTGGGAAATTGTAAAATGATGTAGCTCTATGGAAAACAGTATGGAGCTTCCTAAAAAAATTGAAAATAGAAGTACCATGTGGTCCAGCAATCCCACTTCTGAGTATACATCCAAAAAAGCTAAATGAGGGATCTCAAAGAGATATTTGCCCATCCGTGTTCATAGCAGCATTATTCACAGTAGCCAAGAGATAGAAGCAACACGAATGTCCATGAATGGATGGATGAATAAACAAAACGTAGTAAATCCATACAATGGAATATTACTCAGCCTTAAAAAGGAATAAAACTCTGTCACATACTACAATATAGATAAACCCTGATAATATTATGTGAAAAAGCCAGTAACAAAAAGACAAGTACTGTATCCTTCTACTTATATGAGGTATTTAAAGTAGTCAAAATCACAGAAACAAAGTAGAATGGTGGTTACCAGGGGCTGGTGGGTGTAGTGGAGGAAAAGGGGAATTGTTTAACGGGTATAGACTTTCAGATTTGCATGGCGAAACAGTTCTGGAGGTCTGCTGTAGAACAATGTGAATATACATAACACTACTAAACTGCACTCTTAAAATGGCTCAGAGAGAAAACTTCACTTTTTTGCCACAATAATTTTTTAAAAATTAAAGCTTCAATAAATATGAATTGATCGTGTTTCACTGTGCCATGTCCTGTGGTCTGGAGGGAGATCACTTCGGAAAAGAAAAGGCCAGAGCGACCATCAAGGGCCATTTGGGAAGAGCAGGGAGAAGCCATTGACAGTTTTTGAAAAAGTTTAAGACAGGGTCTTGCTCTGTTGCCCAGGCTGGAGTGCAGTGGTGCAATCATAGCTCTCTGCATCCTGGAACTCCTAGGCTCAAGTGATTCTCCTGCCTCCATCTCTTGAGTAGCTAGGACTACAGGCACATGCCACTGCCCCTGGCTAATTTTTAAAATTTTTGTAGAGATGAGGTCTTGCTATGTTGCCCAGGCCAGTCTTGAACTCCTCAAGAGATCTTCTGCCTTGGCTTCCCAAAATGTTGGGATTACAGGCCTAAAACACTGCCCAATCATCCATTGAAATTTTAAAGCAGGAAAACAAACAGTGTAAAATAGATTAGAACAGAAAATTACATGTAATACAACTATGCAAAAACACGCCAACCAAGGAAAACATGAAAAGGAATGAGCTTATGGGTGATGCTTTCCTCCATTAAAAAAGTAATTCTTGTTTTTGTCTCCTCTAACTCATAAAGGGAGTGGCCAGCAAAGCCACACAATCTGGAAGTTCTAAGAGAAAGGAGAGTATTGCGTCTTCTATACCTACCTTTCCCCGGCTTACTCCTCTAGTCAGGCGAGTACAAGTTGAATTCAAGGCTGAGTGTCTCCTGTGCTGCCACCTCGTGGTCACTCTCAGGCTGTCAGCTGAATTGAAGAGTATGCCAGTAACATGTTGTTTCATGTCAAATAATCGGAGCACAATTTATGAATATGATTGAAATTATTTTAGCAAATAATCTTAAAATGTGTCTCTTAGATACTAGTCTTGATTGCAAGTGGTTGAGGATGAACCTTGTGACCTTTTAAAATGTCTTCCAGCTCTGTTTTATGTGGTTTAAATTAAAAAAAAAAAAAAAAAAACTTTCGAAACTCTGGAAATTTTATATTAACGTGGCATAATTCATACCAAAAGTTCTGTTGGTTTGTGTTTTTAGAAAAATTCAATATTTAATAATAATGAAAAGACACTAGAGGTTTTTACAAAACGAATGATGAGCTTTAGACATAAATATCATGAATAACATTTTTAAGTTGGCAAATTCAGTATTTTCTTTGCCAAACTGTTATTTTGCAACGAGAAACTTCTTAAAGTAGATGATCAAATAGTCCTTAGGCTCAAAAGTAGTATATGTTGACATTGAGAAAAAATAATATTTTAATATAAGAAAATCTGTGGTGCTTGCTAATGAATGTTTTAAATAATATGGCATGAAGCAAGTATTTTTTCCCATAATTTAGAACTATTTTATAACTAATGGGAAATACTATTTTTTTCCAGAAGACAAGTAGACCATACATATTAAATTAATGTAAGAAATTTCAAAATCTTACCTTATGCAGCTGTTTTTTTCCTTCTTTCTTTTTCCTATTTATCAATTGTAAAGACTATGTAGCAAAATTTTCAACTTTTAAAATTCCCTAATGATACCTGAATTTATGGATTAATCTGTATTTTGGGAAAGGCAGAGGCTCTGGACTCAGATTGCCTGCTTCCAGTTCTGACATGACCTTTCTGGGCACACGTTCTTTGAACCAATGAGTTTAATGGTTTTCATCTGCAAAATGAGACAAACACCCTACCTACTTCATAGGGGTTTTGAAAAATTCGATGAAATAATGCATACAATGCACTTGACAGTGCTCAGTACATAAGAAATTCTTACTCTTAGGCAATATTACAAATGAAAAGAATCTATGCTAGAGAAAAACTTCTGTAATTATCACAGCATCATAGTACTCTAATATCTTTCACCAGATCAGTGGTGTGATTTTCTTTCTTTCTTTCTTTCTTTCTTTCTTTCTTTCTTTCTTTCTTTCTTTCTTTCTTTCTTTCTTTCTTTCTTTTTCTTTCTTTCTTTTTCTTTCTTTCTTTCTTTTCTTTCTTTCTTCCTTCCTTCCTTCCTTCCTTCCTTCCTTCCTTCCTTCCTTCCTTCCTTCCTTCCTTCCTTCCTTCTTTCTTTCTTTCTTTCTTTCTTTCTTTCTTTCTTTCTTTCTTTCTTTCTTTCTTTCTTTCTTTCTTTCTTTCTTTCTTTCTTTCTTTCTTTCTTTTTTTTGAGACAGAGTCTCATTCTGTTACCCAGGCTGGAGTGCAGTGGCATGATCTCGGCTCATTGCAACCTCTGCTCCCGGGTTCAAGCAATTCTTCTGCCTCAGCCTCCTGAGTAGCTGGGACTACAGGCACCTGCCACCACGCCCAGTTAATTTTTGTATTTTTAGTAGAGATGGGGTTTCGCCATGTTGGCCAGGCTGGTCATGAGTTCCTGACTTCGTGGTCTGCCCTCCTTGGCCTCCCAAAGTGCTGGGATTACAGGTGTGAGCCACTGCACCAGGCATGGTGTGATTTCTTTAAAATGTGTGTGTGTGTATGTGTGTATGTATGTATGTGCGTGTAATGATCTATTTCTAGAAATGTTTCCTTGGAGTTATTTTGTTATTTAGTTGTTGTTTTGAAGAAATTACTATCACATATGCATCTCACAGCCTGTTCTTCCTTAGATATGGATTCTACAGTGTTCAGAATAGAAACAAAATGAGTTTGACCCAGAGCATGATCGGTTATACTGTAAAGTTTTAATTAAAAAGACATAAGAAAAATTCAAATCCAAATATTACATATCTAAAAAACTATTCATACTCTATAATATTTAAAACCACTTCTCATACATCAGTGCTAGGTAAAACTTTAATAACTCTTGAATTAGCATTTTAAATTAAAATTTAAAAATCATTTTGATAAACAAACCTTTTAAATACCATTTAAGGTTCTTTAAATAATTGATTATTGTTCACCATGTTGTATGATTGGAAAAATAGAACAACTGAGGAATATTTTGTGATATTATGTACCAGAAGTTAAAAAAATATGGTACAAATTAGATCCAAACAATATATGGTATGTTGTTTAGACACCAAACAATATATGGGACAAAAATCAGAGAGATGCAGGGAACAGCTCAGAGTTAGGAGTAGAGAATGAGGAATTGTCTATGGAGTGTTCTTCAAGGTGATACGTTGGCAAAGTTCTGGATTATTGGAGAGACTGTCCTGGACAATCGGTATATCTCTGAGTCAGTATATTAGCCTCTTGTTTTTTTGGAGACAGGCTTCTTTCTCACTTTGTCACCCAAGCTGGAGTGCGGTGACACAATCTCAGCTCACTACAGTCTTGACCTTCCAGGCTCAAGTGATCCTTGCACCTCAGCCTCCTGAGTAGCTAGGACCACAGGTGTGCACCATTGTTCCTGGCTAATTTTTGTATGTTTTGTAGAGGTGAAGTCTCACTATGTTACCCAGGCTGGTCTCGAACTCCTGAACTCAAGTGATTCATCTGCCTTAATATCCTAAAGTGATGGGATTATAGGTGTGGACCACTGCATCTGGCCAGTGTATCAGCCTCTTATCAAAGATTGAGGCTGGTCAGGAGAAGCTTGATGGATGGAGAATATGGAGTAAGCAGAAATGCAGAATCTGAAATACATAGTGTGGTTTGGCTGAAGAAAGAGGGTGTGAATGGTGCAGGCACAGCTGCTCAACATCAGAATGAAGCCTCAGATCCAACTGTTCTCACCCAGATTTGGTGATGCTGAGAACGGGGATACGCTGGTCATGTAGAGAGCTGCTATGTTCCTTTCATTGATTCAGCACATGCTTATTCAATTTATGTGGCAGAAACCACTGCAGACACTAGGGAACATGACACAGTCCTTGTCTCAAGGAGCTTAGGGGGTGACAGCTATGTGAACGTACAATCACAGAAGAGTGTGGTAAGTGCTGGACAGGTAGTACGGCAGAATGCTCAGAACAGGGACTTTGGCATTATCTGGACTCAGGCTCTTGCTCTGTAACCTTGGTGAGTTGCTTGACCTTCTAAGCCTCAGATTTCTTATCTAGAAAATGGAGGCACTAACAAAACCTATTATATTTGGGTTGTGATAGGATTGACATGCTATGATGCCAGCCAAATTCTTAACATAATCCTGACTCGCGGTGGTGGGGGCCGGAGGGGGAACCTAATAAATGTTAGCTATTGGGAGGAAAAGCACAGACTATGGGGCTCACTACATGAGAAATAGCGAGTTCAAAGAAGACATAATGGAAGATGTGAGTAAGACGAGGCCCAGAGAAGTTAGCTTGACAAAGGAAAGCACATGGAAAGCTAGGGAGGAGTGTTCAGGAAGGAAGAGTTCTAGAGGTGGGAGAATGGAAGGCGTGTTGAGGGAACTAAAAGTAATAGATCAATGAACATAAAATGGATTCTGGAGGGAGAGAGAGGAAGGGCTTTGATTCTGCAGGGTTGCATATGTCAGAGAGTTCTTGAGACTAACCAAGCACACACCTACCTCATGGATGTCAGCTTGACCTTCCTTCTGCCTGGATTACTCTTCCCTACATGCCTCTTTCCCTTGCTTCCTTCAGGCCTTTGCTCAGACTTCAGGAAATTCTTCCTTGACCACCCTACATAAAATAGGATTTAAACTGTATAGGGCAGTAGTGAAATAGGCAGATTCAGGAGCCCAACTGCTGGGACTCACATCCCAACGCTACCCTTTCCTGCGGCAAATTACTTCACCTTGTTATGCTTCACCTTCGTCATGTGTAAAATGAGCATAATACTAGTACTGATGCGGGGAGGTGCTATAAGGATTACAGGAACTAATAGAAGTAGACCCTTGAGAAGATTGCTTGGCACATAGTAAGTACTCAGTAAGCGTCTGCTGCTGTTATTGTCACTAATAATATTATTCCAAATAGTAAATAAAGCACACGATCAAGGCCATTACACAGTTAAAGTTAGCACCTGTTCAGTCTGCTCAGTGCTCTGCGAAAGCTGCTGGGACCTAGAGTTCTACGAGGGGGATGATTTTGTCGTTGATGTTATTTTGCTTTTGTTATTGTAGTTAGGAAACACATTGAACACATCAAGAAATATATGGAAGTGTATAATGAATATCTGTATATCCACCACTCAGCTTAAGAAATAAGATGTTACAGGCTGGGCACGATGGCTCGCGCCTGTAATCCCAACACTTTGGGGAGGCTGAGGCGGGTGGATCACTTGAGGTCAGGAGTTTGAGACCAGCCTGGCCAACATGGTGAAACCCTGTCTATACTAAAAAGACAAAAATTAGCTGGGCGTGGTGGTGGGCACCTGTAATCCCAGCTACCTAGGAGGTCGAGGCAGGAGACTCACTTGAACCCAGGAGGTGGAGGTTGCAGTGAGCTGACATCACGGTGCTGCACTCTAGCCTGGGTGACAGAGTGAGATTCTGTCTCAAAAATAAATAAACACATAAATAAATAAAATGTTACAAATGGAAGCATCGTAAAGTGTTTTGGTTCTGATTTCCTTCTTATTGTCCAACACTACAAACTTTTTCCTAAGTGAGCCACTAGAAAGCTACTTCCACAGAGTGCTGACAGGCATTATGTGGGGAAAAGTTTGGGGGATTGGGTTCAAATTAGTTTGAGAAATACTGACTTTAATAAAGTAAAATGGGGTTATTTTCTTCACGATAGCTCAAAGCCTTTCAAGCTGAACCCAGGAACCCCTTTCTATGCCATGTCTTTTGTGACCATGTTTTATACAAAACAGTTTTGGAAACACCAATCTGTGTTATACTACTGCATCAACTCCAAAAAGTACCAATCACCTGATAATTTTCGCATCACTCAAAGAGGATAAATTAATTTTAAAACTTGAGTTAAAAAATAGGGCTTAGTCATTAATAATCTTAGTGCCAAGAAGATCAGAAGCAAATGGGCAGTTTGACTTTAATAACCATGGAGTTATGGCCTAATATTTACATTCCAATTTTCTCCATAATCTTGCTATTTTATTCCATCCACCTTTTCCTTGATCCTGATATTTATTTATTTTTAATCGTCATTGTAACAATTTTTTGTTGTTATTGCAATAGCTCTCAAATCCCTTGTAGAACAAGGCAGGGAATATATTCATTAAACTCAAATGAAATGTACCTAATTTCTTCACTCAAATATACTAAATTTTACAATGCTGATTTAATAACTATATTGGACATTTCTTTTGGTTATTTCCAAATTTAACATTGATTGATACTGATATTAGGCCTTTGGTATTGACGTAAGCCAGAAATTGGACTATAGCCACACCATACTTATAAATGTAGTCATTTCAAGGTTATGTGGTGGTAGAAGTCTGGGTCAGTGATGATCTGATGGATTGGAAGATGGGTGGGGAAAAAGTTCTTGGAGCAGCTGGTCCCTGAGCTGTGATTTAAAGAGGAGAAACTTGTGGTTTGGTTGTTATTCCATAGATATGGAAAAAATTGAGCCAAGGCTCACAGCCAGGAGAGGAAGAACCAGTGGAAGGAACCACATGACAATAAATTTAGTTGGTGTGGAAGGTGAAGGCTAGGTTAGAGTAGGAGATGAAAACAAAGAGGGCGGGGCAAGCTGGGAGAGGCCTTTGAAAGAAATACTCGGAAAATTGTGTTTGATTCAAAGTGTAATAGGAAATCAATGTAAGTTCATGAGAGGATGTGGTCAAAATGATGAACAAGGAAAACAAAAAGAGAAAAGGAGTAACTCTGGAAATTGTAGTCCTACAAACACAATTTACGTACCAGTAAATATTATATAATCTATTTGAAAACAAGTAAACCATATTTGTTGAATGGGTGGAGTGAGTTCAATGCAATGGTGAGTGAACACATGGGTACGCTGAGGGAGGTGGCTTCTAGAACCCAGGTGATAAGTGCCCATAATCAGGACAGTGGCTTGTCAGAGACTCTGTGCGAATGTCAAGAGGGATAACAATAATGATGATTATATACATACATACCTACCTATATAATATCAGGCATCAGGCAGCACTCTGATGAAACTATAATAAAACAGGTGAGGTAGATAAGTCCCTTGCCTTTAGGAAGCTTAAAATCTAGAGGCAACAATTCATACCCATTCAACAAATTCTTACTGAGCACTTGATCCTGGCCAGGGTATGCCATGTGCTGGTGGTGGAATAAAAGATACAGTTCTCATGAAGCTTACAGTCCATCAGGATATAAACAAGTAGGCAGGTAATTAACATCAGTGTAAAGAGAGTCTCTAGGGAAAATACAGAGAGCTGGAGCTAGACTGATGGGGTGGACTGAACATGCACAGAATGGAGTGAGATGTGTTTCTAAAACTCAGGGGAGTTACAATTATACTATTTTGATAAGCATTTTGGAGGAGGGTGGCGAGCAGGGGAGAGCTCCAAGAAGCATGCTTGAATAGCAATAATGGATCATTAAATGCCTTTCTAAAGAGGCAGAGGTTGGTAATCTTCAGGGCTTTTCTTTTGCTGAACTGGAGATTCAAATCTGATGCTAGAGGGAAACTTTTCACAGGCCACAGAAGAGAAGCTAATTGCTGGCTGCCTCAGGAGCTCCCTCTCTACTCTTCCCCGCAGAGCGTATGGCTTCTCCTCTATACAACCATCTAAGAGAATCGATTTGCAGAGGCGCTCATGGTTGGCTTGTATTTCTCGGTCTGGATTCCATTCTGCAGTGTGCTATGGGAGCATGTAAGTGGGGTGCCTAGCCCGTTTTGTTGGGCTGGGGAGAGGGGTGGACAGTGCTTGATGATGTCGTAGTTCAGAATGATGAAAAAAGAACTATGATCCCAGGGGGCAGCTGCCAGAGAAGACTTGGAAGGAGCGTGGTAACAAGAAACCCAGGAGAAACTACCTGATGCTTTAAACCTGTCTTAATATATGTGAATAGTGTGGTGTTCCCTCTGTATCCTGCTTATCTCCGTGATCTCCGAATGATCTGTTAGTGCAGCTTGGCCACTCACAGATGTTCTCTGAAGGAGATAGGTGCTGTTGGTGAAGAAGTGAAAGTCAGAAAAAGTCAGAAGTCAGGCTTGTTGTTCAGAGCCCTTTGATCCAAGTAACAGAGCCCAACCAAACTAGGTTGTGAAAAAGGAGATTGCTCCTCCCCCATCCCTGCCCCCCTCATATCACTAAAAACCTTGGGAAATGAGTGCGCAATGGACTGAATGTTTTGTTGCTTTTTTCGTATGTTGAAACGCTAATCTCCAGTGTGATGGTATTAGGAAGTGGGGCCTTTGGAAGGCAATTAGGTCATGAGGATGAAGCCCTCATAAATGGGATAAATGCCCTTATAAGAGGAGGTGGGAAAGTGAGCTGGCCCTCTTTCTGCCATGTGAGGATACAAGGTGAAGCTGGCTGTCTGTGACCTGCAAGAGGGCCTTTACCAGAATCCAAGCCCGCTGGCACCCTGATTTCTGACTTCCCAACCTCCAGAACTGTAAGAAATAAATATTTATTGTTTCCACTCAGTATATGGTAATTGGGTTGGGAGCATGAACTGACTAAAACAAGGTGGATGCAGGGCATAAGCCATGGTGTCAGGGTTACCTTTTCCTCTCTCTTGTCTCTGCTTTTCTTTGTAACTCAGCTTCTTTCCCTCTTATCCTGGACAGCCTCTTTCAAGCAGCTGGGGAGATGATGAACAAGAAAAATGCGAACACTTTTCATACAATTCAAGATTGTGAAGGCAACAGAATCATCATTCCCATTACGCTCAGCAGAAAAGTCTAGGGAAAATTCTGATTGGCTAATTTGATGACGTGCTCATCCCCGAACCATCATTATGGTTAAGGATAATGGAGTTCTCTGACCAAGTTTAGGTCATTTCCCACTTTGTGGATTGGAAGGTTGCATTAACTCTCCTATCCCTGAAACAGACACTGTTTAGAGAAAAAGAGTGGATCTATCGAGGGGAAGATACTGCTAATAAAATATAATTTTTTAAAAAGTAAAATCATGGCTGGTCATGGTGGCTCACGTCTGTAATCCCAGCACTTTGGGAGGCTGAGGAGGTCAGATTACCTGAGGTTAGGAGTTCGAGACCAGCCTGGTCAACATGGCGAAACCCTGTCTCTACTAATAATACAAAAATTAGCCAGGCAAGGTGGTACGTGCTTGTAATCCCAGCTACTCTGGAGGCTGAGGCACGAGAATCACTTGAACCGAGGAGGCAGAGGTTACAGTGAGCCGAGATCATGCCACTGTACTCCAGCCTGGGCAACAAAGTGAACTGTGTCTCAAAAAAAAAGAAAGAAAGAAAGAAAGAAAGTAAAATCATAGGCCAGGTATGATGGCTCACGCCTGTAATCCCAGCACTTTGGGAGGCTGAGGCAGGCAGATCACTGGAGGTCAGGAGTTTGAGACCAGCCTGGCCAATATGGCGAAACCCTATCTCTACGAAAACTACAAAAATTAGCCAGGCTTGGTGGTGGGTGCCTGTATTCCCAGCTACTCAGGAGCCTGAGACAGGAGAATTATTTGAACCTGGGAGGTGGAGTTTGCAGTGAGTTGAGATTGCACCATTGAACTCCACCCTGGGCAACAGAGCAAGACTTTGTCTCAAAAAAAAAAAAAAAAAAAAAAGAAAAAGAAAAGAAAAGAAAAAGAAAAAAAGAAAAGAAAGAACGAAAGAAAGAAAAAAAGTAAAATCATGACTGATACAGATATGCAAATGAGCATATATAAAAGATTTATTATATTCACTAATCAATGAAAAAACTAACATTACAACTCGTTCCAAAAAGAAACTGATTTAGGGATATTGAAATAAACATCCAAATGGAGGCAAAACTATTTTTTCCAGAATGGGTGGGAAAGAAATCAATCAAACCTATACCAAATAGGAAAAAATTACAGACAAAAATCATTTTCCATTCCTGTCGGTTACCTAGAAGTCACAGAGTTGTAAATACCTCCCACAGTGTCAGAATCTGATAACCCAGAGGGGTTTCCTCTAGCGTGTAGTTGCATAGTTTTCAACTGGAAGCGCAAATATTTTGCCTACACCAGGCAGACAAACAACATGTGTTCACTAAACAAGGGATGTAGTATTTGAGAGAGAAATGTTTCCCCTTGTAATTCCAGGTGGTACCAGCAGAAAGCTTACCTAAATTCAGTTACCATAGGTAATATATTGGTTCCTGGAAATGGGGTCTCCGCCTCAGTTGTCTCTGTGTTCTCTGGACCTAACACATGAGAGATGTTTATTAAGTGTGTGAGATGAATGTTGAATAGTGCACCTGCCATGTGGACTTCCTCTGGAGCAATAGAAAAGTGTCCCCACCTTTATGTTGCTCATACATAGCCTTGAACCATTTCTACAGCTCTTAGTTCTCAGCTAGCAGGAAAGCCCTGTAATTTTATTGCTACAAAATATATTGCATGTATGTAAAACATTAGAAACTTGGATTTGGGGATTTGTATTATAGATTACTCAAGGTTAATTTTGGTTCTACAGAGATATTATTTCTGTGGTGGTTGGCTATAGTAACACTAAACAAGCATGAAGAATTGTTGCTATTATAACTACAGTAAACTATGTTATAATTACAGTAAAAAAAAAACACAAAAAAACAGTGAACAGCAAAAGATGATAGGAACTGGGATTTGCATTAAACTCCAGTCTATGTTGAGTGTGCCAGCAAATGGAACTTACAACTCCAACGAATACAACTTTTTTCAGGGCATCTAGTTACTCCCAACCAATGAGATACATATTTATTAGACCATAAGCAGCTGCTGGGCCAACCCTCAAGGAAAAACATCAACTCAATAGGAAACAACTGCTAAAAATGTATAGGGAATAAGAAAAAAAAAAAAAGCAGGGGTGTGTGTGTGTGTGTGTGTGTGTGTGTGTGTGTGTTTTGAGACAGAGTCTCTCTGTCACCTGGGCTGGAGTGTAGTGAGATCTTGGCTCACTGCAACCTCTGCCTCCCAAGTTCAAGTGATTCTCCTTCCTCAGCCTCCCAAGTAGCTGGGACTACAAACATGCACTACCACGCCCGGCTAATTTTTTTTTTTTGTATTTTTTGGTAGAGATGGGGCTTCACCATGTTGGCCAGTCTGGTCTCAAAACTCTTGACCTCAAGTGATCCGCCGGCCTCAGCCGCGCAAAGTGCTGGGATTACAGGCGTGAGGCACTGCGCCCAGCCAGCAATTATATTTTCAGTACAAGGTCCAGAAAGACCAAGCCATCTGTGAACTGCCCGCCCCACAGTCAAACTGTGGAATCAAGACTGCCTATCCTTTAACATGCACTGTTTTGACATTACTTCTCCTCCGAATTGCTTCTTAATGGTGACACCACAGGCACATGTGGTACCAGGAGAGAGTTAGGCAAGCAGCATAGTAGTTCTCTGTGGGAGCAGATAGAACTTCATCTGCCTTTAGATTCATGGGGTAGCCTTCACTACTTGGGGCAGATAAATCTGTGTGATTCTTGGAAAATGTGGGACAAGGAGACCCGTAATGAGAAGGAGTCAATTTTAGGAACATGGTCCTTTACCATAGTAAAAGGTAAAAATCTCTGTTTCCCCCATTCAAAGAGTCAATAAAGTATATCCAGCCATTATCCCAAGACCTGTGTTTTCCTCTGGGCCGCAATATAAAATATATACTTAGTTGTGCATCTCTTTAAAAGATTCACTTAGTGTAAAATGGAAAGACAGCTTTGAGCAGGGCAGGCTTCTTGACAGCTAGATTGCGCGCTATGAAAATGAAAGAATAGAGAACAGGTTTTTAAAAGCAAGGAAGTTTCAGACTCTTGAAGGGAAATGTGGGGAGAACTTAAGCAGCTTGAGCCGACAATGCTTTCAAAACAAGTCAAGCTAGCACCTCTGTAAGATGGTGTCTGACCTTCACCCCCTAAGCAAGCTGATTTCTAAATGGAAAGAAGCTGAAACTCAAATGAGGCCTGGCCTATTCTCCCCAGGGTGCCCTCCTACGATGAAAGGCGTTCTTCTTCCCTAATCAAGTCTATCCCAGTGGAAAACTCTTCTTTCCTCTTTTC